GTTTGAAATTTCTACATTTGAGTGAACAATGAGTCTAATGCTCTGTAATTTTAATTTACTCAGATAAGACAGAAAGGATAGCTTCAAATATGATTGATTTCTTCTCTAGAGACAAAACTCCACCCTTGAAAAGCAGTCTAAAAATATGGGTTTTTGTGTGAAAAAAGGTTGTGCATGTTCAACTAAAAACATCTAGTATTCCCTTTTCCAAAAAGCCTAAAACTAATTTAATCTAATCTTTGAGCATTGTAGCTAAGCCCCTGGGGACGGGGGCTGGTGTGGGTGCCAAAGCACCCCTAACTTTTTTGGACAAGGATGCTGGTGTACAAAATAGCACCCTCAACTGTGACCATGTTAAGCCACAAACATATTCAAACTCATCCACATCAGACAATCACCGAAAACCCCCAGATATTTATGATTTTACAACCTCAGCACCCTTTAACAAAAATGTGTTTCCGCAGGCACGATTGTCGCCTCCTGTTTGTGCTGCCTAGGTTTGTTAAAGGGAAGCCCCAACAAATGCCACAGTAGAAAGGAACCACTTAGGCCTTGCTGATGTTTTTGCCTACAGGAAAAAGAAAACAAGAGTGTTTCAGGACATTATAGTACACAGACATTGGATGTTTTGTGGTCAAATTTAACTAACAGTATTTAGCTAGCTACAAGTAGACAGCGCCCTCTGTCATGCGTAAGTTTGGTAGTCTGGTGAATAGTCTAAATATCTAAAAGCACAACATATGCTCCAAGCTGAGTTCTATCCAAAGCTGTTGTCCTTTTCTTCATGCCAAAAATAAGAGTGTTTTGGGTTATTTTTAAATTGACTCCAACATGTAATTATAGAGTATTGGATTAGATTATTTAGAAAACTGAACTCAGGGTTTCCAGCATTTTCATGGAAACAAAATTTCTTGATTTTCACTGATTGAAGTTAAAAATTCCCAGATCATCATTTTGGCTTAATAGTCTGATAGTGTAAATTACAGGTGTTTGTGTTATAAGGTCACCATGGCTACATTGATACAGACAGAAACAGTTATTTACTACAAGTACAGCAAGCTATACTACAAAGCCACCATAGCCATGCAATCATTCAAAGGATTCGCTGTTTGGTATGGACTCGAGGTGAGAAAGTCTGACCAGTGCACAAAAACGTTCCAATTTTTTCCCTGATTTGAGGGACTTTTGCCAATTCCGTGACTTTCCCGGACAGGAAAAAGGGGAAGTAATTTTCCTGGTTTTTGCTGATTTCTAGATTAGTTGAGAACCCTGTCAACTACAAGATTTTAAGTAATAGCTTTATTTAAAATTTGTTTATTTTACACAGCAAGCTTCAGTGACAATTATTTCAGTTAGACTTCACCCTAACCTCATTCAAGAGTAGCTATAATCAATTTTTCAAATTGCACCTTTGTGACTCCATTAATCTTTTTACATTGTTTTTATGCCAATGAGTAGTTCCATATTCATGGGCAAACTGTGATGTCATCCCAGAAAGAAGCCTCAGTGTTACACATTGGTTTGTACACAATAAGTCCTGCATTTTTTGTAGATTTTGCTGGACTCAGTTTTTCTCTGCAAAGTTGAAGAAAATTTGTGTTTAAGAAAAATTGATTGTAGCTACATACGCATTTGAGGTACTTGGGACTTCACCGATTACCTTGTATTATCAGGACTGAGAACAATGGAAAACAAAGGACGGGGACCTAACAATTCCCTCGTTATATTAAAGCAGAATGTTGTATTAACTGTGTCCTCATTACTGAGGTTGGACTTATTTGTCTGAATCCTAACAGAGCCGTGGGGTGGAATCTGCCCCTCCTTACGTTCCAATCTCCTCACAGTGCATTTTTACACACCAAGCCTTCCGGAAATTTGCTATTAAATGTATCTTCCACTCATTTTGACCCCAATTTTGTGAAAATCGCACATATTCCTTTCTCATGCAGCATCAAGTTTTTCAAGAGAGCTTATCAGTCAGAATGTCAACTTTACCCACTGGTGTGCATCTAAGCTAACACGAATAAGGCTTCAAATGACAGCAACAATAAAGCCATACATCAGATGGAATTGACACTTCCCCGCTGTACTGATAATGAATGTGTCTATATGCATGTCAAGTCTAAAAAAGATCGGGCATAGGGACACCGAGTTCAAAATGGGGTGTGGGGATGAAATGGTCTGAAAAAATGTTCCGTGAAA